CAAAGTACATGATAGTTCTAGAAACGTTGCGTCACGGTGGTCATGTGACTCGCTGACGCAACAATACTAATGTCATGTGACAAGTATAATTAATTATAAACATAATGTAAAATTAATAATCACCTAAAATCATTCTAGAACAATCAGTAGAATAAACAAAATAAAGAAAAATTATTCTCAAAACCTACTGTAAAAACTGTATTTTGAAAGAAAAAAAAAGGCTAGATTTAGTCTTTGTAGTAGAAGTTAATTGATTTAAATTCAATAAAACCTGTCATTCAGTTTAAAAATAACTTTCGTTTCAATAAAATTTACAATGTTAATATGAATTATAATGTTAGACAATTTGTTGTTGTTTTGACGTTTCGTTATTTTAGTCGTGCAAACCTACTCAATGGACTATCTGCACTAAAATTTTCCTAAGGTTTTTTTTTTAACTGCACAATTAAAAAACACGAGTAAAACATTTATTTAACAACTCTGGGATGGAATTTTATAATCATAAATATGTTTTTGTAAGTATTTATCTACTTGAACTTACTTATATAGGTGAATTTTGAACTGCACAAATATTTTTACAGGTACACAATTTGTGATCAACTGCACACTCGGAAAACCCCGGATCTCTGTTCTGTCTTTTTCTTTGAACCGAACCTAGGGTCCCCCGGTGGGACAGCGGTGAAGTCTTCGGATTTAAAACGCTAAAATCAAGGGTTCGATACCCCTCGGTGTACACAGCAGATATCCCGATGTGTTTTGCTATAAGAAAACACACACACACACACACACGGAACATTGTAAGTCTTTAAACCTACCGCAGGCCCACCAGGGTACACGTTAGATAAATATATTACTCGTTGTTGATGGTTTGGATAATATGGACTTAATGGTGATTTCGGTCAACAAATGAACTTGTAGACTTCAGATATTTGCTTTGAAATATCGTCTTATTAACTTTATAGTGTATTTTTATACAAATTTTTACCCAATTTAATCCTGAAGAAAAAAGTGTGCTTTCGGAAAGCGCTCTAGTTATTATTCGTTTTTTGTTTATGTATTATTATATTTTCCTTAGAGAAACAAAAAGTCAGCTGAAATAATATCTTAAGTTTGATAAATTATTTAAGATATCGCTTTTGACTGCACAAGTTTTCAAAATAAATCCGCATAGCGCCTTAAGTATTTTGTTGTTTCGTTTTATATGAATAACTTAATATACGGTTTTGGTGTTTTTTGAACTTCATACAAGATCATTCTGTGAAACAGAAACTAGAATAGGTTGGAAACTTCCATGCGGTTAATAACCGGTTGGAAAGCTGCAGAGGCTCATCTTGTAAACATAATTTATGAACAAATTTAAACTAACGGGATGTCGTATATATATGCTGTGACAGCTCACAAACCTACCGCTGTAACTGCGTGTGCTACAGGTAGTTATAGTTTGTATTTGATTGTTTTTATTGTTTGGATTATAAGTGCTACTTCTGATCTTCGCGCCAAATGAACGTTAGGCTTGTCCACCTTTGAAGTTAACACAATTTAGGTTCAAAGTTTAATTTAAGAAGTTATCTACAGTCCATAAAAACACCAGAGCAAAATTTTTTATCATGTTATTTTGGTTTGATTAAAGAATTCATTTTTAATTGACACAGTTTATTATGTATTGATATGTTATCTATATCTGTTCATATTATTAAATTGCTATAATATCACCTCTTACTTTTTATTTTCTTCCATAGATAATAAGTTAAAGAGATCTTAACCTATCTCTGTAACAGTGTAAGGAAACCTCGTCCTTGGAATCATTCTAGTATCCTTCCTCTGAACATTTTAAAAATAAATCGATGTCCTTTCTTAGATAAAGAGACCAAAAGGCAAAACTGTACAAAGTATTCCAAGTGAAGCCTATCTAGTGATTTGTATAGATATAATTACCTTTTTTGACTTATCAATATGTCTACAAAAATGCATCTTAAAATTCTATTAGATTTAATACTAGCAATGGAGCATTGCTTCAGTAGCTTGATTGACTTTTAGTTTTAGTAGTTTTACACCAATAGTCCAATAAGTAAAGACTTTTTCAGTCACACTATTGAGTGTAGGTTACTGTGTATTAAATGTGATTTTCACTTACTTTAATTTAAGGTCATTTCCCAAATATATGTCAAACTTATCAATTGATCCAAGTTGCGCTGTAATATATCAACTTTCTCAATATAGCTAGAAACACCTAAGTGTTTAATGTAATCAGTAAACTACTAATTTACTAATTATGTCCATATCAATATCATCAATGTAAGAACGAAAAAGCAAAGGCCCAAGCATTTACCTCTGAGACACTTCACCAGTAACATGGGTCCAGTTTGATTGGACATTTTTTAATGACAACTTCTTATTTGTACCATCCAACCACTCTACTATTAAATTAACTAATTTTTCTTCAATCCATGTTGATGAGATTTCCATAACTATTGTTTTGTGTAGCAACTTATCAAAAGGTTCTGAAAATCTAAGTACATGAAGTCCACAACTTTTTCTTTATCCAGATATTTATAAGCATTTTTGAAAACAATACATCACTAAGACCAAATGTCCCCGTGGTAAATCCATATTGGCTTTCATTTATGATGTCATATTTCACTGAATAATTTTGTAAATCTTATAAGATTATAATTCTTCTCACTAACTGCTCAGTAACTTCCAGGGCAATTCTCTGTTCCTGTTCAAAATAGGAGTAATATAAACAACAGACAAATTCTCAGGCAGGTGCCTACCATCTGTTGACCTTCCAAAAATGAAAGAACCACATATCTGATCTCTGACTTCATTTAAAACCCTGGAAAAAGCCTGTTCGGCCCTGGTGCTTATGTGTTTTTGAAGTTTTCGATCTTTCTACTTACTTCCAAGGAATTAATGTATATGTAACCTTATTTGAGACAAGCATATGTCAACTGTTTTGACAGATGACAGTCCCAGTAAAACTCCAACTTGATGCTGCCCTCAGAGCAGATCATGCTGGACATTATGCTGGCTTGGTTTTACTGAGTTGGCAAAGAAATGTGAAGATGATGATAATATAAAAAAAGCAGTCTGTCTAATTTATTGAAGGAGTTTTGGATAATGATTTATTCCAACTTTTTTTATGCAAGTATTTTTGTTCCCCATTTTTAGGAAATTTTACATCACCAGATGACTTAAACCTCATTCTTGCCAAAAATACTAGACTAGAAATCTACAATGTTACACCAGAAGGGCTGCGACCAGTCAAGGAAGTCGGCATTTACGGCAAGATTACTATCATGAAATTCTTTAGACCTCCAGTGAGTAATTTTTGTAAAGTTTGTTTTAATTTGATGTTGATAAGATTGTAACTAAGACTGTATAAAGCAGTGTTTCTCAACCAATGGGTTGTGGCCCACTAGTGGGCTGCAAAGCAATTTGATGAGGGCATAAAAGTAGATGGCAGTATTTAAAAAAAATTGCAAAACAGCAAAAATATAATGCAAACTACATAATACCTCACAACATACTAACTATAAGTGATTGTCACACACATTAACTGAGCATAGTAACTATGAAACAGCATTGCTATATGTTTTATACTTCTATAATTTTCTGCAATGGATTGTGTTACTGAAAAGGTTGAGGAATGCTGGTATAAAGTTTTTGAGTAAGTGAAAACAGAGGCTTCACAACAGATTTAAGAATGCAGAATGAACAATAAATTTTTAATTTAAACTTTTTGATGAGGATGGCGCTTAAAGCTGACATGTAAATAGAACACAGTTGTTGACATTTGTCAACATGACCCCTTGTCTGTTTGGCTAAAATATATCATGTCATTTGGTTTTGTAATACCAAATTGAAAATAAATGTTTTGGGAAGTCCTTAATGTGGTTTTATTTGAAAACTAATTACATTTCTTGCCAGTAATCATGAAGATTCTGACTGCAAAAAATGTTTTGGGCATTTAAAAATGGCCTCCACATCACAGATTAGAATATTCAGAGCTAATATAACAAGAAATACCATAATGAATGACAGTGATGGTGTGTACCTACCAAGCTCCGATACTGATAGCAGTGATGAGTCTGCTAATGAGTAACAGGCAGATGTTCTCAGAAACTAGGGATCTCTATGACCACGTATCCAATGTCATGTGCAAGGAAAAGGATGATGAGTTAAGAGTTCAGCCACTCTCTCCTTCAACCACCCAGCAGTATGGTGAAATATCTCCCAGTGCCTTAGACAGAGGAAGAGCTGGCCAGCCAGCACTATATTCCTTATCTCAGGACCAGCTGCAGCAAGCACCTGCAGCTGTACTACAGCCCATTCAAGTCCAACAATAATCTGTAGTTGATGATTAGCAGGGTTATGATGACTTTGATCGATTTGAAAATGACTGGTTACTGGAGCATAACTGTCAACATGGTATGCTTGTGGATACTACAAACTTTCAACTTGTATATCTTTTGCATTTTTTGTTTTTTTCAGATGAAGCTTTTCAACATATTTCTCAAGGGATGAACATATATGCCCAATAGTTTTTTGACCATCCTGTTGACATTGCACCCAAGTCTTATTTTCACAAATCGGTTGATACAAACATATATGAACTAAAAGTTTATGTACCAATGCAGATTGCAATGTAACTATGCCAAAAGAATGAACTTGAAGAATATTGAGGAATCTCTTGGCCCACCTTCACTCCATTCCATGAAGTAATGTTGAGAGGAGATTTGAGCTAATAACTTCCTTTCTCTATTTTATGGACAGTGGTCTTGACATACCAAAATGGGTCAGCCTGAATTTGATCCTCTGAAAAATACAACCTCTTTTTGGATATCTTGCACCCTCAATTAAGCACTGGATTTAGCTCAAGTAAACTCTGTCTCATGATGAAAGTATCATCAAATTCAAAGGCCGTGTATCTTTTAGGCAGTATTCGCCATCAGAACCCACATATTGCAGAATAAAACATTATCCCTTATGTGGTAGAAAATCTGACTATTGTTTTATAATGTACTATTTATTGTGTTAAAGGGACTCTTGTCCTTGAGATGGGTTTTCTGTGACTGATTCTATTTGTTTATAAATGCTGGAGGAATGTGAACACAGTGGTGCAGTAACGTACGCTGCTACTTATTTTCTTGATTGTCTGAAGATTTTGTGATATCATCTTGCATAGTTTTTCTGTAATTGCTTTTCAGTATGTAAGATAGTGTTTTTTCATCTTTGTGTAAAATATATTTAGCACTGTGACATTAGTATTAAATTTTTATTCAGTGCTGAATGGGTTAATAAAATTGAAAGGAGAAGAAAAGAACTAAATCGGTAAATGTTAAAGGCTTACATTTGGACACAATAGTTTTGTAAATTAGAGATAACTACCAATGAGCAGTCTGTTGTAGAAAAAACGTACCAAAATGTTTTATTTTTTTCAAAAGCTTGGGAAACTGTCAGTCCAGAAATCTCATAAAAAAAAAAAAAACTGTTGTGCACATTTTGGTACTTGGAAAAACCACTCTATTAGAGATCCCAGAATTTCTAGTGAAATTTTGTGTATTATTATCTTTTGATTTTTGTGATACTAGTCCTTAAACTGTGCTTCAATGCCATAAAAATAATAAATTATATATATGTATATTTATATATCAAACCAATAGTATGTAAAAGTTCTATTCAAATTATAATAGTGTTTAAAATGTCGATCTGAATGTAAAATATAAAATTCATTTTGTTTGCAGCATATGTTATACTCTTCTAATAGATAGTAACTAACACAATTTTTAATTATGTAATCTAACTATAGAAAGTGTAGCACATCATTTTGTGGTGTCAGCAGTGTTATTGTTGTTAGAAATGTTTTTATTGTGAGAAGATTATTTAATGCTGTATTTTGATTGTTTGAATTTTTCCTTCAATTCATTTGATATTTAATAACAATAAAAATGGTAATCAGGTTCAGAGAATAAGTTTTCTTGAATGTTGTAAATACATTGTTTTGTACCAGAATTAAGAATTGCTTTATTGATTGAACTATGATATTTTTACATAGATTTTTGTTTGTGATAGTTACCATATGAACAATTTGTTATTTAAATTTTTCAAGGGAGAGAAGAAAGACTTGCTGTTTTTATTGACATACAAATACAATGCCGCTATTTTGGAATGTATTGGAAGTGGAGACACCATTGAAATCATCACAAAAGCACATGGGAATGTAGCTGTAAGTATTGTGCTAAAAGATTGAGCAAATGGCAATTAATACACAAATATTTATGGCATTTATAAGATTTAAAATTAAGCAATTGTAAATTATTTGTAGAAGCTCTGGCGTGTTAAATAGTGGTTCTTGGGTATTTTCATGTGTTTAGTACAACTTGTTTAGTTTATGTCTTGAAATAAGTCGGATCTCTAACAAAGGCAAACATAATGTGCTCTAATTAGTTATTTTCAATGCTGAATTGGTAATTCTTCATAATCATCACATTTGGCATCATTTAATAAAACCTTTCCTTCCTATACGTTGTGTAATCAATCTTTTGTGACTAGAGTCACATAAATGCTGAGGAATCAGTGTAGTTTGTAGATAGATCAATTAAGTCATCCTATGTGACTTGACTGCAGTAGTAATTTTTGCTATTTCTGTTAAATTAAACTTACTGTTTAGAATTTCTTAGTGGTTTCTACACATACATGATATTGTGATTATTGCTAGAATTTTTAAAAGGATAGACACAAAGCTTTATAAAAGCAATGTTCATATGAGACATTATGGAAAGTGTTTATAGATGCTTCATCTCAGTTTCATGAATTATTTTTGGGTCACACTGTTACATAGGTTAATACTAAGTGCAGAAGAATGTTGTATAAAATTTTTTTGTCATTGTTCAGTCTTTTCAGTAGCTTTGTGCCTGTCATTTAACTCTGTGTATATGGGCTCAGTCAATTTCATCGGCCATGTAACCACCATGTACCTATGGAATTATAGATTCTATAACTCTGAATATACGTAGTGTTTCTTGAATTTGGTAAGCTTTTAGTAAAAGTTACAAGTGTTGTACACAAAAATTCTGATTTTTAGTAAATTATTTTTAATAAATACCTGTCTGAATTTACAAAACCTGTATTGAGTCAATCTAAATGAAGGGTGACTTACATGATAAGAATACAAATACTTTCCATTTTATAGTTTCATATTTCACCTGCATAATTTCTGAAACGTACTAACTGAATATCAGAAGTTGTTTTTAGTAAAACTGTATATTTCTGTCTCTTATTTTCTTTACATTAATGCTAACTCTAGCAAAATCATCAATGTACAATGAAATTAAATCAAAAATACTTTTTTTTCCTCAAATGACTGCAGATTTCAAGTATGCATTTTTAAAACACACAAAATATATCAAGCACTAGAATAAAATGTCCCAAAAAGTACTGTAATATGTCTGGCTTTTTAAGGAAGCTTTAAATGGTTTAAAAAATTCCTTTATTACTTGGAGCAAAGACTTTACTCAATACATAAAAAGCTTTTATGGCAAACTGCCACAGTTCTGAACACCAAAACAAATAAACATGGTACATTGGATTTTGTTCTTTCTGGTTGTTAAAAATATGTCCATTAACTATGTACCATATAGGCTAGAAACCAACCTATAGGTCTTTTTCTTTTTTTTTTTCGTGAGTGAAATACAAATTTGTCACTAAGGTATAGTGAAGATGAAACTTAACAGTTTGAATGAAATTTTTGTGGCTTATATCTTAAACTTTTTAACCCCGAATATTTGAAACCCATTATCTTTATGTAAGTTAGTTTTATACATTTAATATGTATGTCATTTAAATGATTTTTGCTTATCTTATCATTAATTAAAGGACACCATTGCTCGACCTTCAGAGACTGGTAGTATTGGAATTATTGACCCTCAATGCAGAGTCATTGGTCTGAGACTGTATGATGGACTTTTTAAAGTCATTCCTTTGGAGAAAGAAAACAGGGAATTAAAAGCTTTCAACATTAGGTATGTAATTATTAATAGAATTAAAAAAAGATAATGTTATCTACAAGAACTTTTATATTTGTTATACGTTCAATGTATGCGTAAATGTGATATTTATCAGCTCTTATTTAATTTTGTAGAATGAGTGATCTTGTTGTCCAAGACATTGAATTTCTGCATGGTTGCCTAACTCCTACGATAGCCCTCATCCATCAAGATCCCCAAGGACGACATGTAAAAACTTATGAAATCTCTTTGCGAGATAAGGAATTTAACAAAGGACCATGGAGACAAGACAATGTTGAGAGTGAAGCTGCAATCATAATTGCAGGTATATTTTTAGAATATAATTTTCTCTACTTCACTTGACAGTAATAATATCTTTTTTTGGGGGGGGGGGGAGTGTTGTGAAAGTCATAAGCCACTAGTAAATGTGGTGATAAATAAAAAATTTGACAGTATACTTCACTAATACTTGATTTTTTAAGTTTTTTTGTAAACAGTGAAAATTAAGTCATAATTTGAATATTTTCTGCAGTGCCTGAACCATATTGTGGAGCTCTAATTATTGGTCAAGAATCGATTACCTACCATAATGGTGATAAGTATATTGCTATTGCTCCACCTATCATAAAAGTAAGTAGTTTATATAAAGTTTGCATCAATAAGAAAGTAGTAATAGATTTTAGGTCATAGTGTTTGGTCTGAAATATATATTTTCATGTGCAAAACACTAATTTTATGCCATATAATGAAAATATCTATATGATATTAGGATAACGGAATAAACTATTGTCTGTGTTTTATCCTTCATTAAAATTAAATTAAACAGATAGTGAATATGTGTTTCCACACATGTCTACTTGTAGGTGCTATGTCTATGGCAGGTGCTGGTAAGAGTTTTAGTGCAATATTGTTGTTTTCAATTTAAACAATAGTAATAATAACAACAAATCAAAAATGTAATATCTGATACAATATCTTACCTCTGTTCACAAAATAGCTTTTCTCAATTAGTACTGCCCTCTGTCGACACACATTTTCAATGCTTGCCACTAGCCTTCCACGTCCTGTTTTTGCATATCCACATGTAAATGATTATGCAGCAGCTCTCCACCAATAGGAGAACAGCACAACCCCTATTGTAACCAGCACTCATTAATCACTTCGAGAGTGGTCAGAAAATTTGTGCCGATTGAGTGCAGTGCTAGTTGAGAAAAGCTATTTTGTGAGAGGAGGTACATGTTTATCGGAAGTACATTTTCAGTTGAGGAAAATGTGGAAAAATCAAAGTATTCAAAGAAAAGACAAAAAATCAATTGAAATATGTATTTATCATGATATACGTGTCAAATGATGAATAACCAACATTTTTTGTAGTACTCTTTGAAGCATGGATTCAAACAAAGTCCAGGTGATTCTGGACATGCTTCTCAGTTATAAATTGAATCTTTGCATTTTCTCTTTTCACCGTATAATGTTCATCTTTTTTCTTATTGTTTTACTGCTTGGACCAATTTTGCACTTTATTGGCAAATGTTTAACATCTTTAGGTTTTGGCGATTTACTTGCAACTGGAGGTGGTCAAAGCTCCTTTATTACTGCTAGATGAAATTCATACAATGTCATTTTATTCCAACTAGAGGTGGTAAAAACTCTTTTATTACTGGCAGATGAAATTCATACAATGTCATTTTGTTCCCAGAATACTGATTATACAAATAAAAGGAATTTAGCAGAGTCATTCGTAATATATGAGTACAAATTTTGTAACACCACCTTATGGTTTTCTCAAGCAAGGATGATACAATAACATTTGATCTTGTCTGTTATTTCCATTTATATATATACCCATATAAGTTTATTTTGAAGGTTAGCAGAATATGCTATATGTTATATATAAATTATATCTTTCTGTATTTCCAGTAGTTTCCTGTCAGAACTTCAGAAACAGTAACATTTGTGTAAAGACTTGATTTATATAAACAAATTAAGTGACATTAGATTTAATATTAATGTTTGTAGGGGAGAAATTATTTCCATCATTTGAATGTTTTAATATATGAAATGCATGTCATGTGATCTTACTTTTAGTTTGAATATTTGGTACATAGCATAAGGGGTTTAATTTATTTATTTTGGTCATCCAAATGTAAAAAATAACATTTTTCTTTGCAGCAAAGTACTATAGTTTGTTATGGAAAGGTGGATTCCAATGGTTCTAGGTGTTTGCTAGGGGATATGGCTGGAAGGCTCTTTGTACTGCTGCTGGAGAGGGAAGAAAGAATGGATGGGACAATGCTAGTGAAAGATCTGAAGCTAGAACTGCTTGGAGAGGTAATGTTTTTTTTAGTTTTATTATTTGTAACAAATAAGTTCATTCAAGCATGAAGTGCGGTTGGAAAACAAAAAGTTTATTTTTTATGTTATTGGAAAGGTGATAAGTACTTACTTTGATCATGCAGTAGCCTAAAACATATAGCAAAAAAATAAAAATATAAAAATAATGTAATATGTTGTTAAAACAATTAAAATCACATACTGAATTGTTAATATATGTTAGTTTCATAATTCTCAATGTGTTATTTCAGTAATCAAAAGTCAGAGTTTGTTAGGTGAGATGGTGATTAAGCTGATTTCTTAACAGATTGTCTACAATATAATCTGTATTTAAAATGAGGCATAACTCATAAGTCTGCCTAGTCCTTACCGTGAGAGAAATAAATTAGAGACTCTCAAATTGAAATAACAAAACATATATTAAACTAGTAACAAGATATCCATCTAATTAAATTGACCAGATTTTCACTTTTAACATGGATTTCTGCTTATCATAAAAGTTACTATAACAAATAAAATGTTACTTACAACTCGGTGGTGATGATCTTGTAACCTGTTGTTGTGAGGTTTTAATGGATTAAAACATATTTATTAGAGTTAATACCACTTTATAAGGATGCTGAAGTACTTGGACTTCTGATAGTAGCTGACTATCGATTTATTGTTATCAATTTAAGTAATGTAAATCATAATTTGGTGAGATCAAGCATACTGTGCAATTACTTTGATCTATTTACTTCAGTATGGGATTGATGGTACATGAGTCAATTTGATTTTCTCTTTTAAATAGTTTACACTAATGGGGTATCTGCAAGAAATCACATAGTTTTCATGGGCCTTTTTTGTCACTGATTGTTTATGTTTACACCACTTAGTATAAGTGATGTTTTGAATTACAAGTCAGTATTTTAATCCCCAGTTCTTGAGATTCTATACTAAGTAAACCTTGTTCAAGGAGATTGCAGCAAGTACTTAGTATAAGCATACATGTCTGTATTAATCGATACATTCATACCATTGGGCTTATGATTGACAGAATTAGAGAGGTGGTTAAATATTAGTTCTGCATTACTAGTGTTGTCATCAGTGAGGGTTCTGTTTTACGATGATGTTGTTTGTGCATGATTTGTACATTTATTCAGTTGTATCATACCCAGTGCTACATTGGTTACACTCTGACAACTAACACTGATATTTTTAAATAAGGTAAATTATTTCTAAATACCTTCTGTTCCACATTTCATCTTGTTTTATAGACATTTTATAAATTTCTTCATTTAAGTTTTTGCCTATATTAGATAAATGACAGTACACTTGATAGAGCCAATAGAGATTTAAAATTCCTTCTTCATTTTTGTCATCTGTTTTTGAACTTGAACTTAAAGTGAGACTCTCATACAAAAATGAATCAGTCAGAACTAAGAGAAATAAAAGCAGGAACTTGAAGAAAATATCCTATATAGTGAGACTTGTTGCCAAGAAAATGACACATGCTCCCTTAGAATATGATTTTGTATGAAAAATTAGTAAATTACCTTTGAAGTTTCTAAAACACCTGATAATTTTTATGGCTAGTCAGATGAAATTGTCATTTATGTACATAAGTAACAACTCTCTTATAGGGTAATACCACTTTATAAGGATTCTGAAGTACTTGGACTTCATCTGATGGTAGCTGACTATCGATCTCTTGTTATCAATTTAAATAATGTAAATCGTAATCATGTTTGATTGAAAAAAAAGATTTTAAAAGGTTTAAGCCTACGAATTATTAGATTAAATGTACCAATAACAAATAAAATCTATCATTATTTCATGAAGAACTTAATACAAAAAAATATTCCACATTAGAAAAAAAAAGAAATCTAAATAATCACAGGCTTTAGCTACAGCAAGTTTACTTGATAGATTTCTGGCACAGTGTAGATTGTTATTTTTGGTAATAATTACTTATATCTTTTGTAATTTGTAACCCTTTAGTTTAACATTTAACCAGTTCAGTAGTTTTTAATTTTCTAAAATAACAGTAAGACAAAACATTTTTTTTTTCGTGTGTTGTTGTTTTTATTGTAGTAAGATCACTGTCTAATTTTGTTTGGATGTGTGTTGGTTGTTAACATTGATTAAAACATTTTCTATCACAGAATAACAATTCCTGAGTGTTTGACTTACCCTGGCAATAGTGTATGTGGGATGGTCTCTGTATGATTTGGTCTGGGTGTGTATGGTAATTGTTAACATTGATTAAAACATTCTCTGTTACAGATAACAATTCCTGAGTGTTTGACTTACCTTGACAATAGTGTAGTGTATGTTGGATCTCGTCTTGGGGACTCACAACTTGTCAAACTGAACGTGGAAGCCAATGAACAAGGTTCTTATTTAGAAGTAATGGAATCCTTCACAAACCTAGGACCACTAGTAGATATGTGTGTGGTTGATCTGGAACGTCAAGGTCAAGGTCAGGTAAGGCTTTAAATTTGTCTTTATTTGGATTATCGCTATGTATGAGTCAATGTCATTGTTGTGGATTTTTGAATAGATGTCACGTTTGATAGGTCACTTTTTATTATTGTTGAACCATGCATTTTTTTGATGTATGCTATTTGAAGAAAAGTTATCTTTAGACTATCAATCTTGATCCTTCCTCTTTCAAGAAAAGCTATCTTTAGATGTCACTTATGATTAAACATCTTGGAGTACTCCTCTTTACTCTACCCCTTTTAAGAGAAACTTTGTAACTCTTGGTGTTGGAATCTTGGCATGTTCCACTTGATCCTACTTCTTTCAAAAGAAGCCTTGTTTAAGTTTAAATCTTGGTGTCAGCATCTTGAAGTCCTTGTCTTATTTATTCCACTTTCAAGTAGCAATGAGCACAATTTGTGAGAATCATTATCATCAACAAAAGAATTACTCCAAAATTATCATCATCTTTATGTACATTGCAAGAAAGTGTGAAATAATTTTACCTTTTTAGCTATATTAAAGTGAAACATTTTGTAACCTGTACCCAAAATCTATTTTAACCTTTGCAGGAATGTCGAGAGCCAGCATGGGCCCTGGGGCAAACATCCTTGCCGGACCCTCTTTCTCTCTCTCTCTTATTTAACATTTACAAGAATTTATTAAAAAGAAGATCCTAAATTAGGACAGCAATGAGCTCATAAACCAGACAAAATCATAGCAGCAGTTATTTTTACCTCACAGTATAAGTGTAAAAACTTTAATAAAGTAACAACAAATATCTATTAAATCTATAAAGTAACAAATACATATTAATTATTACTCAAATTGTTATTTCAGTCATTCTTAATGTATCAAGCATCTATATGCAGGTTTCATTCACCCTGGCCCCTGTGGGTGTCGGTTCTCAATGACCAGGTTTTGGATTTAGAGTAGAACTAATCAACATGTATTACAAATGTATATATATTCCTCCCTCATTTATACTCCATCAGTGCTTTGGGAGGTAATTGCGGATTGTTACAGTTTCTTTCCCTCCCACTTTCCCTAAGTGTTTCTTATTCTGAGGATATTAATGCGCTTGGGGTGGTTCTGATCAATATCACTTTTGAAGGAGATGATTTACATTACGTAGACATCTTTTCGATACTAGATGTCGGGTTCTCAGATTAATCTATCAATTTATCATATTCACATGTGCCCCGTTCATGAATCAGGGGAGTTCTAGATTCCGGTGAAGATGGTATGGTTATCTTTCCTACCCCTGCCAGATGGCTGGGTTTTGTTTTGTAGTTGACTAACTGCTGGTATGATCCTCTTTCCTACCCCCACATGGATGTTGGTACCTAGTGGCCAGGTCTTGGATTGTAGTTGACTTACCAATGGTATGATTCTCATCCTACTCCTGTGTGGATGTTGGTTCCCAATGGGATGGGTTTAGGATGTAGTTGACTTGCTGTGTATGGTCCATTGCACCCCTACATTGCACTCTACACCTAGGGACACACCCTTTTCATTTGACCCAATTTTATAATTTCTGAGATTAAGTTTCATGAATATTACATAGTTCGGATCACTTTCTGCCCATAGTTCTCTCCCAATTGTATATATGCTCCTCTGTTTTCTACCCATACATGCGACATCTTTGTACAATAAGCAAAGACTATACTTGGTTCAGAAGTGGTGGGGTTCCCCATGTCAGATCTTAGAATCTGACTGTCTCATCTTAGGGAGTGTCCTATTCAATGTGGGATTCTGGCTATTTATGTGTGAAGAGGTAATGTACCATATCAGAAGTTATAATTTTCCAACACTGAAAATGTATTTTCAATAGGTACTTACCTCCTCTCGCACATCCCACCCTTCCACCCCACTGAAAACCAGGGCTTCCATCTTTTGACAAAACTTGAAGTGATAGTTCTGTAGAATTGAATAGAGGGAGTCACAAGCATCATTAAGTATGTCACACTCTTATTGGAGGGTTGACACATGATGATTTGCATGAGAGATGCATTGGAATTGGTCACTTCCAATAGAGGGGAGATAGAAAAAATGTTTTTTGCATAAAGAGGGCAGTACTTAACTAGAATAGCTGTTTATGTGAGTGGATGTAAGTACATATCAGAAATACCAGTTTAGGAAAATTATAACTTTTGTTATTCCATGTGTTATTTCGATGAGGAAAATTGCATTGCATTTGTTTTAAGCAGAGGAGAATGACTATAATGCATTGTTGGTAAAAAATATTTGGGTTTTGATGTAATGGATGGATCCAGCACAATAGAGTGCTCAAGTTCGCTGAGTAGCCGCAGGTAATTTTCCAATGTATGCCATCGTTCCTTGTCATTTTGCTGGGTGCAAGAAAAGACTGTTATTTGTTATTTCTATAAGAAGTGTCAAAGGGGGGATATTCAGTTGAAATTAATTTATTTGACATGGTACAATAAAATCATGCATGAATATAATACAACATGAAATATATGTATACACTCAAATATGTTCCTCTCTCTATGCGTATATTCCCCGTTAATGCTCCTTCTTTTAAACATTTCTTTCAATCAGTTGATGGAGGAAGTCAATGTTATTTGTGAAATTCTTTCAGAAAAAGAAACATTCTTGTTCTTAAGTTAGTTTGTTTTTCTCAGATTGACTGTTCAGCACATGCCAAAACTGACTGATTGATATTGATATGAAATTTTAGGAGGTACAAAAAATGTATTTCACGTAATGTATTCTTTAAAACAAGCATTTTAATATATATATTTCTATGATTAACTGTTCAGAAGATAAGGCATGACAGACATACATTTGGGTTATATATATATATATATATATATATATA